ATCGGGTAGACTTCCCGACTGAGATGACAGCTGTGATGTGGAACAGGTTTGTCCCTGGGGTATCTCAGAGTGTTGTTTTAGGTGCCCTACCCAGGCTTAGTGCTGCAGCTCCTTCGCTTGCGCCTGGTTACATGCAGTGGATGTACAGGTTTTCTCACCCGCGGGTATCTCCAGGTGCAGGAGTTACAAGCAACTTGCCTGAGCGGACTAACACTGATTACGTAAGTATTTATGCTTATTATTATATTAACAATGACTTTTATGAATTTTTGTGTTTATAATATGTTATTGTTTGATTTGCAGTGGATGGGTCGGTCCATGGAGATTCACCAAAGAGCACTAGCTGAATATCCTGAAATGTCAAGTGAGACTCGAACAATGACTGAGCAGCTTGTATTTGATTGGAGGTCAAAAATGGGACTTTAGATTATGTTGATTAGATGTTCTGTTAGTGGTTTTAATTATGTTATGAACTTATTTTTAATTTTTTTTAAATGTAATGTATAAACTGGACACTTATTTTATTTTATATTTGATGTTTTGTTGCATATCATGTTAGATTAAAAGCAAATACATTTAAAATTAATTTCTTAATTCTAATTTTCTTACAAATGTTCAAAGTTAGTGAATGTACATCACAAACTACCTAACTAATGCATCCCGCATGTCCCTTCTCAATTGATATGCTTGATCCCATCCATTGACACTATCCTCGTGGTGTTCCGTCCACTAACCGGCAATCGGCGGGAGTGGTGAATCAGGTACAAGGTCAAGACGGATAAAATGTGATCCACCAACTGTAGCAATCACAAACTCTCGAGTCGGTGACCGAACCCCGTTGCGTGCCCTAAGCGGTAAGACTGTGATGCATGGGTAGTAGCAAGTTGGTACTAGGCCTACTCCAAGACAAATCACCCTTGCGTTGAACCACGTAGCAATAGGAAATAAATCTTGAATTTTAACCATCCAATGCCGCTCCCCGACAGCCCCACCATCCCATCGAATACGCTCCACGTTCATCCAAAGTCGCCCAAGCCCGTAAATCCGTTCGTACAAAGCAGGATTACCAGCGATCTCGTTCGCTATTGTTTCCCGAGCGTCAAACCACTGATTTTGATCGCCAAAGAAGAAGTCGGCGACACAACGAAAGCCACAGTTCCCATCACCGATGACATCCTTCCAAAACGTAATGTACGACAACATTGGGGCTGGAAGCAAGTTCAAATACCTGCATTGACTAATGTCACTTGGATTTACAACACAAAATTAAAAGATAAATTATTAGTAAAGCTACAAGTATTAAGTTTACATATTTTTATATCAAATATAGAATTTTAGTATTACCTGGTTCTGGGTCACCACCACGTTGAGTGTGTTGACGGTTCACATGCTCGAAATAGCTACGATCACGCCTAGTGTTATTTCTCTTCGGTCGACCACGAGTGTTAAGGTTGATATGTGGTTCTTCAAGGTGTGAATGATCTGGATGTAGCTCCTCTTCAATGATTCGCGTTACATTTCGACGTACGGCCGGGTCACTTTCCATGACTTCGTCGATTAGGGACCGAAAATGTGCAGCCTCCTCGGTCGAATCATTTACCACTTCAGGAATGTTAACACCATCACCAATAACCAGTATCTTCCAGAAAGAATGAATTTGGCTGCTATACAATCCTGTCTGTGCAACTATCGAATCATGTATCTGGCAAGCACATGGAAGACCATGGGTCACACGCATAGCACATCCGCACCGTTCATGGACCTGGTAACTCAAATCCCCCATCCTTTTCGTCTCCTTATCCAGAACTTTCAAGCAATGTTGGGACACTTTGCCATTTATACATGACAGTGGCAACTGTCTGTACATCTGACCAATTTTAGACCTTGATGCCTCCAACTCAATACGAATTTGTATGATGCGATTACCGATATGACAATGGACTCGGGCCCATACGGTATCCAAAGCACCTGCCAATGATTCTAATTAGTAAAATCAAATACAATTACAATTACGTAACAACGAGAACAACTAATAAAATCATACAACTAACCTGTGGATGATTCAAACCAAGTTTTCACTGCTGAATGTTGGCTCTCAACTCTGCAGTTGGTGGTGTTACCAAAATGAAGAATCTGGTTCGTCCAAAATTTCACAAATTTCTCCTTATGACAAAGCCATGTTCTCTAAACATACTGAATCACTTCCGGATATTTTCCCCACCTCACTTGCATGGCAGTTAGAGCACGATCATACTCCGCCTGTGTTGTTGCATTCACGATTTTGAACCATCTCCCAGCTCTAAAACTGACACCAACCGTCTTGTTTCCAAACATCTTCGTCACCTTAGCCTCCACATCTCTGTTGATGTGCCATAGACAGAGTAAATGTGACGTCCCTGGAAAGAATTCTCTCAAAGCCGCACAAAGCCCAAGATCACGGTCTGAAATAAATACAGATGGCTCTATATCAAACCCAATCAACTCCCTTAATCTCTGCAACACCCACCGATAGCTAGCCGTGCACTCGTCGCGCATGAAAACATATCCAACTAGAAAATTCTGGTTTGTCGGTGTCACGCCTACTACCTCAAAGAAAGGCATGTTATATCGATTGGTCTTGTAAGTAGAATCCATACCTATGACATGTGGGTATGTGCGGAGTATGTTGACCATGATCGGGTGCACCATAAATGCATGTTGCAAAACGTTGTGATCATCATTCGTGACCCAGTAAATGTATTTACTCTCTCTCGCCAGATGAAGAAATTGCTGAACAACTCCTCTTCCTTCGGACATCTCCATCCTGAAGTCATTTCGGCAATTGTAAATGTGTCGGATGTTTGGATGATCATAAGGAAATTGCTCGGCAATAGTGGACATGATGTTACGGGGAGCAACCTTAGACTTTGTCATGTCCCGTACAACCTGTTTTGCACCCGGACTCAATCCGCTCACTTTACGGTGACCCTCTGGGTACACAATCATTGGGTGGTTATGTGTCCCGGTGTGATAATTTTTCGCAATGATCTTCCAACTTTCGGTGCTCACATCATAATATATCTTGATGTAGAATAGACAACCATTAGCTTTGGTTTTGGTGTCCTTCCGTATCGCGTTCTCCAAATCTCTCGGCTTGCTCCTTCGTGACCGATCACATCGCAAATACCGATACGGCCGACCATCTCTGGTTTTGTTATAAGACGATTCCACCAATATGAATCCCAATTTTATGGAAACACCATCAGCCCATGTAACTGCATCGTCAAATGTAGGAAAAAACGTATCGGTGACAAAATTCCCACTATAATTCACACCGTCACCACCTTCCTCAGATTCCATATCCTATACAAATTAAACAAAACATGCTTTATGTCAAAATAATAATAATAATAATAATAATAATTATTATTATTATTATTATAATAATAATAATAATAATAATAATAATAAAAACAATACTAATAATAATAATAATAATAATAATAATAATAATAATAATAATAATAATAACAAATACAAAACAATAACAATATTAATGAAATAAAAAAATTATAATAACAACTACAAAACAATTTATAAGACCATAACATTAATTAATTAATAAATAATAATAAAAATAATAATAATAAAAATAATAATAATAATAATAATAATAATAATATTAAAATTATATTTCTACTAATTAATAATAACAATATCAACAACAACAACAATAAAAATACCAGCAACAACAACAATAATAATATCAACAACAACAACAACAACAATAATATCAACAACAACAACAACAACAACAACAACAACAACTACGATAATAATAATAATAATAATAATAATAATAATAATAATAATAATAACAATAATAATAATAATAATAATAATATTTTCAATAATAATAATAATATAAATAATAATAATAATAATGAAACAAAAAATAAACATATTACTAATAATCATATTATTACAACAAAATTACATTAATTATCAAATACTAAATCACAACAATAATCACAAGACCACGAAAAAAAATACATCAAAAAAAAAAACTTAATAAACATAAAAAAAATTAAATAAACGTACTTAACATTTAAAAAAAAATATGAATAGGGACATCCGCCTAAAATTTCCGGATGTCCCTTGGTACATCCGCCTAAAATTTCCGGATGTACCATGGAACATCCGGATTTTTTAGGCGGATCCCATCTTCCGCTTGAAATTTCCGGATGTTCCATGGTACATCTGGAAATTTTAGGCGGATGTCCTAATTACCGAAAATAAAAAAAAAAAAAAAACTTACAGAATGATCTGACGCATTCTCCGGCGTACGTATGTTCCACTCGCTGTCCATGACCCAAGACCCGTCGGAAAATTTCACGATTTTTAAAAATAGAACATTTAGGTGGTCGTGGGGACCGATTTGGTTGCAAGGCCGTGGGGACCAATTTTGGGAGGCTCGGGACAGCAATGTCGTGAAGTGAGGGGACTGTTTCATGTATGGTGTCCAAATGGGGAACAAGGTACTTTTTATAACACAAATTGCATAAAGGGCATAGTGGTCCATTTAAGTCAAAAAGGGAGTGTTACCTGGTAAATTGGGAGCGACAAATAGTAGTTTTTATCGAGGGTTGGAAATTTAAGTCGGATCGGAGTCGGATTCTCAGAGTCGGATGTCGGAGGCGGAGGCAGAGGCAGATTAAAAAGCCGAAATCTTGCAGGGTAATAGGGTCAGAGTCGGATTTTGCATAATCCATAATCCGATTCGATCCATTATCATCCCTACTATTACTTCGTGGTCTTCGTTTATGGAGTCAAAATGGTCCAGTGATGGACCCTTCTCACCAAATCCAAGTCCAGTTATTACATTGCTGAAAAGTTGTTTTGGGTTAGTTTAATATGGGGTTAGATCATATGGACTATGGTATCAATTTGCTAAAACCTCTTTTCGTGCGAAAATCAGTTGAGAAAATTGTATGCACAAAAACCTATGTACATAGCCTTGGTATTCATCATTCATCAAACTCATGTATATATTCTATTTCTATAAAACAACACAAAATCATGAAACATACTCGTGAAATTTAAACAAAATAACTAATTATAATGCTTCAACTGGTGATCTCCTTCCATGAATTATTTATTTGCAAGCACTTATTTCTTTAATCATCATTCAACTTACAGTTAGTAGTAATTAGTTATACTTGCTTGTTTCTGTATGAACCTGTAACACTAGGTTTTTTCTTTAGTTTTGCTCTTCCAAACAAAGTCACCCTTCTAAAGATCTTCAATAATCTGCCAGCATATTTCCTCTGAGAAGAAAAATTCACTGAACCAATGCAACTAGTTACTTGTCCAAGTGAATTATTCCTCCTTTTACTACTATATGATCTTCCTTCTAACCCAAAGTTACTCATTTTGGGAGGATCTTCTTCTGTTTCTTTCGCGCTCTTCTTCAACCTAAGACTCTTCTTAAGAGATACAAGCTCTTGTTCAAGATTCTGAATTCTGAAACTCGTGGACTCGTACTCCTTTTTTGCTGCTGCAAGTATCTCAGACTTTTTTTGCATCACTAATTGATCACTCTCTAGTAGGCAACTTAATGGTTTGTTCATGATCATTATTTCACCCTCATGATCACTTTCTCCTAGATTTTGGCTTTTCGAATTTTGATATCTTGAACTCGAAAGACTTCCTGAGAGTTCCCTTGAATATGCAAATCTGAATGACTCTGAACATTCCTTGAAGGCATGCTGTGTGTTGAGTTGCTGAATAAAGAGTGCTTGAACTATTAATCGAAGTGGCATGAACTCGTTCTGCACTGCCTCAACACATAACTCTTGAGACAATTTTTGACAGTTCAAGTACTTGCAGACCGTGTTTTTTTCTTCTTGTGACAGATGTGGATGTGCCTGAAAACAATTTACAGATCACACTGTTAAACACATTCTCACATGTATGCATAAGTTTCTTACAAGGTTCTGTTTTTAGACTATATATTTTTTTCATTACTAATATGCTTCACCAATTGGACTGCAGTACTGAATAGTTTTCGAGTATAGATATATGCTTACCTGAATGTATGTGTTCATTGCTGCATAAAGATGATCATGGTTATTTCTGTAGGATATAGGCACTATCTCAACAAGATTCATGAACTTCTTTGGTGTCATATTCGGATCATGAGCAATCAAGGAGAGGTAAGAGTCCCATAATTCTGCCACAATTGTGTTTCCCATAGGAGGGCTTTGCTTCATTTCAATATTAGACAAAACATATGAGGAAAATATACTCTCCATCACACCCACTTCCATACTTGATGTTAAGGACTCTGTCAATTGCTTTGGAAGAAGAAAATCTTCGACGTGTGCCAGAGGTAAAAGATACACAATTTGCTGTTGTAGCCTTTCCTTTCCTTCAACCATGCTTGATCCACCAAGCTCGAGAGATCTAGCCAATAAGGCAAAATAGAACCCAACAGGAATTATTTTACTCACCTTTGATCCTACATGCAACAAGTTTAGGATTCCTTTTAATGTTTCCAATACCTTTTCACTTGTATCATCATCACGAGTGTTACTATTGTTGTTGTCATCATCATTGTCACATAAACACTCCCAAAATTGTCGCGTTTTCTTAGAGATCACCCATTTGTTGGCATAAAAAACAATAATGGGACTTACATATTTCTCCTTCATGCCTTGCCTTCTTAATGACCCAATAACCCTTTTGAAAAACCCAAATGGAAGAGCAACTAGATCTTTTACCCAAAGATGATCTTGATCACTTACAATTTCCTTTACGAGTTTTCTGTTCCATGGTTCGGATGCAAGAGCTTCTAGTGAAACAATACCCTTCTTCCTTTTTCTCTCAGGATCAAGAATCTCCATACAAGCCATAAAGGCCAACGATTCTATACACCGACTCACAATTAGAAGTTCCTCTGCACAAGGGAGCAATGCTTGGCATTTTTGCAGCACAATGAGGGTATCATCCCAACTTTGCAGTATCACCTGAGTTAAGTACAGGTCAGTTCTTTCACATAAGTTGCCAGGGCCACCCAATGCTTCTGTCATCTCTAGAAACTCGGCTGCACAACGAAGGGATGCAACATTGAAAGGATCAATAAATGTGGAAGAACCATATATGAAGAGCGCGATCATCTCAAATGTTTCTGAACCTCCAGGGAAATTTGATGGCAAATCAACTTCTTGCCATTCATCTAGCTGCCTCTTGAAATATCCACTCTTAGATATCAATGGAGACTAAAAAAACATTTAAAACAGGACAAACATTAGCCTTAAGAAAAACTTCCAACTTTTCAATTTCATACATAACTAAATTTAGCTTTATTTGCTAGCTTATTACCTTGTGCAAGTTGAAGGATCTATTAGCAACACGAACACGAACCGTTACAGGCAAACCAGTCTCTTGACTCCTGAAGTACACATATAAATCATTATGTAACACATATAAATGGATTTATGTCTTAAAACTTTGTTACATGATTCAATATATAATGAACTGTTAGAGGAACTAAAAAAGGGGTAAATAAATTACCATGATATGACTTTAATCTTCAGTAAGGCACTAAGATTTGGTGATGAGTAAGGACTTGATAGAATAGATGAATCTTTCGGGCTAAATGCTTCCATTACTGCTAACAAATCTTCATTTAGAGTCATTAAACAGAAATACTCTGTATTAGATAAGCATTATTTTTTAAGTATTATAATAGACTAGCAAATTAACATAAAGTAAAAAGTTCTAAACAAAATTAGTCTATGTATAACAAATGCTTGAATTTGAGAACGTTGACAAATCAGAAAAGTGAGAAATGAGTTAAAAAAAGTAGGCAATTAGCCAAATAATGTACTCTCTTAATTTATCATGCCTTATTTTCAAAAAGTGGTTTGAGTTGAAATTTTCTATAATTTTGTCCCTTGTTTATGAAATAATATTTGTACTCCTATTCCTATACAATAACTCTTAGACCATATCATATGTGTGATATCTTGTATAATTACTAAATTGATATGAGTTACTAGGTTAACAGGCCACATATATTATACGAAGTACTCTATATAACCTTTTCGAATAAATAATGTTCAAAATTAATGATCATAAGCTATTAATTTTGATCATGTTGTGTAAAAAACAAAAACTAGTCGATGTTAAAGTACCTTTTTTTTTTAAAAAAAAATATTTATTATATGAAAACATTCTGTTTTTTTAAATATGAAAAGTTGAATGTTTCTATTTAATACTACGTAATAGAACTTATTAAGACTACCCATTTATTGCAAATGGGCTAATACTCGGTAGTTATTGCTATAAACAAATGCTTTAAAAAAAAACCAAATTACCAAACCCATTCACAATACCACATATCACAATAATAGTCTTCCAAACAACAGCAACAAAAAAAGAATCACATAAAACTTAAGTATAAGACTTATCCGTCCTAAAACAGTAACGATTTATGATTCAAGCAAAATTAACTAGTACGGAGTAAAACAAAGAAATACTAACCAATCAACGGTTGCCGAATCCTATGAAGATGAAGGACAACTTAACTAGATGATAAACCCAGCACCATCAATTTTCTCTCCTCTGCTTCTTGCACAGCTACTTTTACTAGTGCTCAATTATTGACTATTACCATAAAATTTACCCATTTGAAACAACACACTAGTAATAATGTTAACTAAGACAAAACAACCTGAACATTAAATTCAAAAGTTTTGAATTTGGTAAAAAAGAGGAGTAAATTATGAGGAAAAAAGTTAGTAAATCATGAATTACGGAAGAAGTCATATAAATTTGTATGAATTTGTGTTACGCCCAAGACGGCACGGCTACTGAATCCTAATAATAATCTAGCATGTTATAATACTATGTAGTATTGTATTAAATTTGTTTTATTTACATTAATTTCATCAATTATTTTTTCAATCCCAAAAAATTGAATCATGGTTGTTATTTATGTGTAGCCTTTACCGTTACTATATACTGTAGTATGATTATTAATTTGCATTGTCTAAGATTATTTGTGGAAAAATGTGAAAGTCTTGCCTTTGGATTCGATGTTCAAAGCATGGATATTTGTTATGTGCGTAATTTAATGCATGTAATTTGGGTGAAGGAGGTGGAAACTATTATTGGTTTAGCTGATTAAGAGGTTGATTTGCTTGTAACTCAAGCAACACATTCTTTTATAAGGTCAGAAATTGTGTGCCAAGAATTGGTTCAAGTACTATATATTTATATATACTACATATAAGGATACTTTGTACGGTTGGTTGTACACGTTTGGATTTGTAGACAAATGAAGGTAGGAATTCAATTTATGCAGATAAAACACTTCTATTCGTCGACAACTTTCATATATATACGAGTGTATGTACCGTATATACGAGACTAAATGTTTGCCATTTGCTCGTTTGGAAGAGCTCCCAATGAGCAAAAACAATGTAGATGTATTGTGCACATGATATACTCAAATAGTGTCTAGGATTAATAATCATAAAAGGTTTTTTTAAAATAAGTTCTCGTTGTTCTTAGCTTCTTACCATAGAAATTTATGCGATTTTCCAGGAGGGGTTGAAATTCAGAAATAACAACAATTATAAATAATTTTAGTAATAAAATCATGCGTTTAAAATTAGATTATGACAATTACTACACCCTTGATTTTGAATATGAGTGGTATAGTTGAGAATTAGTAGTGATAAACATCCCTTGTTTACTTTCAAATTTGACAAAAATTGGAGATAACATACTACGTATATCCTTTAAATCCTCAAAAAGAAGGAATTCAAAATAAAGGGGTTTGAAATTGTCAATAAAAGCAAAAATAAGTGTTTGCTAAACGCAAAGTTTAGTCAGAAAAACCTTTTCTTAGATATAAAATTGATCTAAATAATTGTAAAATCAACCTCCAGAGTAAAGTTCAATGTAAGACAAGCAAATGAACACGGAAAAATTTGCATCCACTATGAATTGAGGATTTTTAAGATACAAAGAACGAAAAATTTCTTTTGCATTCACTTCTATTTAGTGCTGTATGGATCGCTCAGGAAAAATAAGCTCTGATTTCTGATTATACAATTAACATTCCTATAGCTGCATCAGCAGTTCTACTAAACTAAGGAAAGGGTTAGGAAACAGGAAAAATTAAATGAATTACATTACAAAAATGAACACTAATATACAAAAAATTATGCACGCAATGGGGAAACACTTCCAGCCGCTTGAAACTTAGGCAAGTTGAATTGTATTTTTTTGTACATTTTCCATTCTTCACTTGCCATATACCTCAGTTCTCAATCTGTCAGAGAGTTTGTATACAGTAGACGCCAATACTGGCGCAGTGTGGCACAAGTTGATTGTCAGTCAACCTCCTTTGCTGTCTTAGGAACCTGTCCCCCAGAGTAAGAAGCCCATCAGGTAATACCCGAAATTTGCTTTTCTGGTTCAATGTTTTTATTTAATATCATGAATCATGAGACCCCCCTTGAACGATCAAAGCTATACGCTTAACACTGTCTGAGCGAAGGCTATCGCCTTTAAATCCAATCTGGGAGGATAAGCAATATACAAGTAACCTCAAAACACAAAATTTTAAGAGCAGGGAGAAAAATGGCATCTGAATTAAGCAGTTAAACCCAATGCACATACTGAGCTGTTATAACTATTAAGTTCAGTGGAAGATAATTACCTCACTTGAAATGTCAGGAGAAAACCACCGCAGCAACACTCCCAGATGAACAACTGCAGGTATTAACTTAAACAGCAATGGTGTAGTCACCTGAAATATTGAATTATTAGTCTATAGACAGAAATCTAAAAAGCATATCAAAGAGTGATTCAAATTGCAAGGACAAACCACAAAGAAAAGAGGAAAGAAAAGGGAAAGAGAGCAGGAAGATAGTGTCTGCAGGTTGTCTATGAAAAGGTCACCGTCCTCCAGTTTATGTCCAACTAAGTTCTTGTCATTTTAATGAAGATTTTCAGTTACTAAACAGGCACTTAAAAACTTAATAGCTGTATATTTTTAAGCAGTATCTGATGGTCTAGGCTGTTTAGTAATCCTCATGCTCTCTCTTTTCGCTTTAATTTCTTTTTCTTTTTCTTTTTCTTTTTTTCTTTTTTTTTTTTTTTTTTTTTTTAAACACTCGTTACGACAAAAAGATGTCAGAATATAAAAAGTGGAAGAGGGGTCAGATCATAGCCTACCATCAATCAATCACTTCAGTAAACAATGTTCCCACTTCACATACATCACAAAAGCTTAAGTATTTCCTTAGGGACTGGCATCAGCATACAGCCGAGCATAACCCTAAACCCACTACATAAGTTGCGAATCAATATTCAATAGTCCCTCAGTATAACAGTGCTACATGAAGAAAAGAATAAAAAAAAATATACAATCCACAAAAATAGAAATCATTAAGTGTAATTATTCCTAAATGTAAAGTGATCTGAACCGATGAAACTTGAGTTCAAAGACATGTCAGTAGTCGAACTTACCAAACTGAGAGCGGTTGTGCCAAGCAACAGTAAGTAAACTTTTCCCTGCAAGAAAGAATTACACTTGTTATGTCATGCAAGAGAAGAGAAGTGAGTGGAAATCTTCGGGGGGCTAAGCCCCGCATCAGCCACTCCCAACACAGAGTTACAAAAAAATATATAACCAGTTCAAATCCTTTTTTTGTAGCAAAATAATTCAAGAGATCCTCCAAGAACGATAAGATCAGAAGATAGTAAGGGAAAAAAACACAAACCCCAACCAGATGCAAATTGGAAGCACGGCTAAGAAGAACAAAAGCAAATTCCCCAATTTGAGCCAATGACATCCCAACCTGTTAATACAAATCAATAAAGTTTGACCATGACAACTACAGTCATAAAGACTTGCAAATTGGGAAAGCTGTAATTACAAAATCAAATCTTACAAGAAGTGAGGTCTTGTTGTTGTAACCAAATGCTTTGACTACTACAGCAATCACAAGTGTTTTTATGATTATCACTAATATGACAGCTGCCAGTAAAATGTCAACATGACTCCAGAGGAAATGAACATGAATTAGCATTCCGATGCTCGCAAGAAAAAGAGCGGCAAAGAAGTTCCGTATTGGCTCAATCTACAAAAGCAGGCATAATGTATAAGGGAAAAAAATACTGAAAAAGCATTCTCCAATTATCAAAATGGAGACAGAACTAACAACATTTGAATTAAACATTCAGAAATTAAATGAGAAACTATCTACCCTATGTTTGAAATAATGCTAATTCCAAGTAATAAACAATACTCCTCTAAGAGAAGAAAAACAAAAGAGCACACATACTTGATTATTATGGTCAAATTTTCAATACTTCCACTAACTTCCATTAATTTGTAAAATGTAATAAGTTGTACTACCTCCGTTTTTTTATTTTTCTATGTAGTCTAAGAGAATTTGAAAAAGATGAGTGGGTGTAAGGAAAAGTAAAAGAGATGCTGGAAAAAGGTTGGTAAGTGTACGATAAAGAAAGAGTTTGTATAAAAAGGGGTGGGTGTAAGAAAAAGGTAAATAAAGTAAGACAGTGAGTGAAAAGGTTTTAAAAGCTTTTAGTAATGAAAATAGTTGTATTGGGAAATGAATAGTGCAAAGAAATGTGGAGCTTGTTGCAATATTACAGGAAGAATATTGAATGCATTAAAGTTGAAAATTTGTAAAATCAATTTTTAAAAACAAATGCAAGTCTAGAAATTGAGTTATGTTATCATAAATAATATAGTTTAGGAGAGTAGGAACTGTATAGGGAAATGTGGAACTCATTGCAGAAGTACAGGATGAAAACTGAATGTTCCAGCTACAACTTTAGAGCTATGTCATTTACAACATACTCAGAAAGTAAGAGCAAAGTTCTATTGGTGAGCCGAGGCTCTTGTTCTTCTTCAGTTATAATCCGTAAAAAAAGAAAATTAAAATCAGAGTTGAGTTATAGTCGCAATTGCTTTTGCAATGACATGGATAACTAAATATTCGAAGAAACGTGAAAGCTTGCCTGTTCAAGTGTATGTTGAGCAAGATCAGTAGTTGAAATCATAACTCCAGCTGCAAAAGATCCCAGTTCAAGGCTTAGACCCAGCTTATCACTAGACTGATAAGATAAACTCATGTCAAATGATAGACAAAAAAGGAAACCTGCGGCATCTTTATACAGCTCTCAAATAAATAAAATAAAATAAAATGAATTAAGGGACTGTAATACATGAAATTCATGAACTTAAAAGTGAAAGAAGAGATAAAGTAAAAAAAGAGTAGAAAATCAATTCATGAAGCTAAAGATGAGAGTTTTACAGCTCTTCAATTTCAAAGGTCATGTCATTTTCTTGCTCATCAGCTAATTTAACTAATCCCAAGCTACTGGCTTTCTTTTAACCCCAGTTGTCCATTCAAGTCATCCCATAGCAATCTGTGCTAGAGATCCAACTTCCATTCCCAACAATTATCTAATGCTCCTTTGAGCATGGATAGTCAAATTCACAAGAGCTTTCACTAATGTCCACGAAAAAAAAAAAAAAAAAAAAAACCCTACAAGTTGAGTACGCCTCAACTGGAAGTTTATCATGTAGTGAACAATCTATTCGGACTCCCCCCCCCCCCCCAGTAAACTACGCCAGCACATCTCTTCTGTAGGTGCCACTATACAGGAATAAAATGGAAAAGGTTTATGGCAACATTTAACCAACAATAATCCTTTTCTTCAAGATGAATCAATTCAACTACAATGCCAGGAAACCAGGCATGCTGAGCTTTGAAAGCAAAAGACCCGACGTAAAGGGGCTCAAAGCCTCAAATTGGTCACTAGTCAACTAACTAAGTCCTAACTTGAGTTTTATAATTTGTAGACAGATTCTCTGATTCTTAAAACTCCCAACGTTTCCTTATCCCAAAATGCTTTCACACCTGCATCAGCTCCCTAACAAGTCTTCTTCCTGATTCCCTAACCCTTTCTAATCAGCATCAACTGATTAAAAAGAGGAAAATAATGCAAGATAACTTGGAAGTTGAACATCAATTACCCAAATTTCCTAAAATGCAAATATGAGTCCCAAAGTAATCTTATTTTAATTAAAAAAGGTTTCAGTAAACAAGTTTCACTGAAGAAAACATTGATGAAAAATCACTTTCCATTATAGATAAAAAGTTCACTTTAAAAGAGAACTTCGACACTACAAGATTACTATGGTAATTCACTAACTCTGAAAAAGTAAGAGTTATTTTGAAAAGCACCTTAAACCAAGGGTTAACTTGTATATTAAAGTTGAAAATGAATCTACAATTCTTCTTTTCCCATCCAACATTAAGGTCACTAAATTATGCGTCTCAATTCGTTTGACCTCAAATCCCAATTCAACCCCAACACTACAACATACATATGGAGTCTGAAAATAGTAAAAATAACCTGTCCTCTACTTAATCATTGTTGTCATAATTACATCCTCGTACTCCCACAAATCTCATTCTTCCCTCATCTCAAGATACTTACACATCTCCTTCCTTCTGCTTTTCTAACAAGTTCTCTGCCCAATCTATCTCTATTCTAGGTCAAGTGACTTTAAATTTATTTCTATTTCTATCAAATGTCTCAATAACCTATCTACTATTTGCTATAAAGTTACATAAGTGTATCCTTTTCTGAATCAAGGCCTTGAAAAAACAAACTATACGCAATCAAATGACCAAGTTGGAGAAAAAAAAAAAAACACGGTTTAATTTTCTCTGCAGAAGCTTGGTTAGAGCACCCATCCTCTCTCGGTATAAAAGACCGCGTATATGTAAGCTGGCAGGTTGTGAAAACAGAGAGTTCAAAATAAAAAAAAGTAACACTTGGTATATAAGACCTTACATATGTAAGCTGCGTAGGTTGTGAAAATAGAGAGTTCATTTAATAAGTAGAACTCAATAGAATATCAACTAAAAAAAAAGATACCTAGTACATACCATCATTACTAAAGTATAAGAGAATCATGGCAGTAATTTCATTCATTGAACTCTGATCAAGTTAAGCAACAAAGCTGAAATTTATTTGAGTTCTTGCCTAGATGAAAATTGCATGGGACCACTTCTATTTTGCAAAAATAACTATAAGCATGTACATTTTCCTTTCATTAGTTAAATATCACACAGTTAGGGCACATGGAGCGAAGTTCCTTTCCCATTGATCATATTTAAGAGTGACAATTCCAACAGTAGAAAGAATAGAATCACAAGAAGTATGAACTCAATTAGAGCAACTACAATGGTTGGCTAATTCATATAATAGCTTGTTGTGCCACATCATCTTTTTAAGCTACAACAATTCTAGCTATTTGTTGCTCCAATGGTTAAGCTAGTTATAATTTAATTTATTTTTAAATTTAAAATATTTTTTATCTAATAAATATTTACCAAGCTAATTGGCTCTACAAAGCTAATTTGCTTGCCAAAGCTAATCAGCAAGATGTGCAACAATGGTATAGCTATTGGTTTATAAGTTTTAATATTTACAAGCCAGTCCCTTTTTTCAACCATTGGAGTTGCTCTTACTAAGAATACTATTAACTGGGTAACATAGAAGAAAATACAGATCATATTTAAGAGTGACAATTCCAACAGTAGAAAGAATAGAATCACAAGAAGTATGAACTCAATTACTAAGAATACTATTAACTGGGTAACATAGAAGAAAATACAAATATGAGGGAAAACTGAGGCTAACCCAAGCAACAAGCAGGCAGAAAGCCACTGACGCCAATTGATAAAGTTCATTTGTCTGCACATATAAATATGCAATTAAGATCAAAATTATAGAACAATCACAAAAGAGAGCACCGTTTCAAAAAGCTTGGTTGTTTACCTGTGAAGAAAGACTGATCATAAGCTTAAGAAACCGAGGAACAAGAGTTCGAGTCAAAATTGACAAGATAGCCAAAAAGGAGATTAAAGTGAGGAACCTGGATGGCACAAACAATTTCAAATAATGAATGAGAATATTGCCGCAGTATCCTACCAAACAAAGAAAGTGAATTTTAGAATCCCAAGGACAAGCCCACAAGCATATACTGAAACAATGCAGGAAGATCATCAAAACCTTTTCGAACAATTTCTTTGGACCTATATATAAACGTACTAAGTAAACATTACAACTAATTGAGAACTCCTTTGTCACAAAAACTAGATATGGGAACATCAGCAGTTCAGCAAAAGAATTTCAACCATAAAGCCTTCAATAGAGCAAGGGATTTCTAAACCATGTGCATATTGCCCACCAACAGATTCAGACAGGAAGATTTCATGGAGGTTTATAAACAGGTATGATTTGAAGCGGATAACCTCGAGGACTAACAGCAGTAGCACAATCAAACTCCTGAACAAACACCACTAGAACCATGAGCCATGGCCACAATGATCACCCAAATCGGTTCCAGCATTAATCCATACGACCATTAATTCACTATGGTCAGGGAAGCAGTATGATGGAAGGCCAATTAAGTTGAGTGCAGTAAATTTGGCTAATGTGGGGAAACAGGGTATCATTGGGCTTAAGTTGTTAAGGCTATTTAAAAGCAAAGAGCGAGGGGTCTTAAGGTAGCACATTATGGGGCAAGAACAAGAGAATTCTTAGGTTGTAGAGTAAAAAGAGGGAAGCAAAGGGAACTTACAGCTGGAATAGCTTGTCTGAAAGTAGGCATAGGAAAAGGCAGTTTCCTTGCAGTCAGTTACCCAGCCATGGAGTCTGGATCTTTTGAGAGTGTATTAGTGATTCAAAGCTTCACGCCCTAAATTTTACTAGTTACTACTCTAGCGCTACAAGAGGCTAATATATGGACCAGTGCAATGTCAAATTACTTTATAGATAGAAGATACAAATCAATAAAGCAATAGAAGTTTATGAGCATTGCTAAGTTATGTGTCGGAGTAACTATGGTGAGCAGAAATTAGAAGAGGGCACATGGAGTTATTACAGTTCCTGCCCCATTTTTAAAACATTTATCCTGATTTGTTGATGACATATGCTAAGGTGTGAAGATTGCATCTCATAGTTGCCCATTTTACAGTAATCACCCACCCATAAACTTATATAGAATCTCATCAATCAATAAGCTAGAAATTACTCACGATTTACTCATGGATATAACTCCTTGAAGAATGCCAGAGGTACCACCAAGAACTGGTAAGAAAGCAAATAGCAAACCTACAGTACAATCCTAGCAACAGTACAGGATTATTAGTTAGAAGCATAGGACTGCATGATCAAATACAAAACAGGATCAGCTGACTGCATGCATAAATACCTCACTGTCCAGAGACTCCAGACAATTAATCCCCCAACAAATTACATGTCATTATACAGGAACAATCCCACATCTGAATAAAGTTAAATTACAGAATAAAGAAGATGCAAACCTGCAAAATCAGGGTTCCAACAGTGACTTGACCATGAAGGGCATTAACACTATTTTTTTCCATCAAAAACTTCAAGACCTAAGGTAGTTACAAAGAAAATTCAGAATCATGATAAACAATTTAACAAAATTACAAGATAAAACAAGTTGTAGTAAGTACGCAAATAAAAAAGAAGAGTACTGAAAACAAAACGTAAATAATGGATCAAAGATGATGCATATACTTTCACATTACAAAAGGTCAAACTTTTGTACTGACAAGGGAAAGACACCTTTTCTTACAAATACAAACACTTAGCATTAGTTTACACAAATAACGCTCATCAGTAAAAATTAACTCGTTAAAGATCCAACGATAGTATTCTGTCCCAACGAATTTTATTCTGGCCAACATTACAACACAAACTACAAAACTTATTTTTTAAGAAAATCACCAAAACAAGAGCCAGCTCAACACCAAAAGAGCACCAAAGACATTAAAAAATGGCATAACAACTTCATACAACAATGCCCAAATAAAAGATCAGAGACATACCACTGCAGTCGAAGACATTGACAGGAATAAGCCAACAAAGACACCTTCGGATGTTTTAGCACCACATAGCTGTAAAATCAAAACGTGGACACTGGCCATCATTTATCACAATAAATGCATTTCACAGGACTCTAAATTAAATGTTCTAAACAGGGGGGGGGGGGGAATTCATTAATGAAAACCACATTAAATCTACAGAACCAGATGTCCTCTATAGCAAAAACAACACTACAAGAAAACATGTTCATCACAATTATCACCCACACTATCATCAAGAAAGCTGAAAATATATTGTGAAAATTTCCTTTTAACGATTGCATAATAGTAGGTTACCCACAATCTGGACCTAAATAACAAATAAAGTTTGTTAATTTTTGTTGCAATGTAACCAAGTAATTTAGCTACTCACCTAATAGATACTTTTGAGTTATACTTCCTCCACTACATTTTGCTGGCAAAATTAGAATTTTAGAACTATTCATACTCTCTTATCACGTCTTATTGTGAATTATACGGAAGAAAAAATAGTCATGTGGATTTTGTTGGATTTGTATCAAAAATTAGTACATGATTAAAATCTAATTTTTGTAAATCTTAATAAAATACTATTAAAGATATAGTTTAAATTGTGCAATGACAAGCGTAGATTGTGCAATGACAAGTATTGCAAATAAAATGGAGTGGAGGAAGATATTAAGTGAAGAATAGACATACTGAAGCTGTTACTCCGCAGAGGAACATGAACAGAAAAATTTGGGATACACCCCCAAGAATAGCTACATTTCGAACCACGCGAAGCTGTGCAGTAATTTTTAACAAAAAATTGTCAGAAAATTATTGGTTAAACTTTTAAGCTCCAATGAAAGCGCCAACATTAACATTAAAAGAACCTTGGATGCAGAGAACTCCAAGCCCAATGCAAATAAGAGAAATATTACTCCAAATTGAGCCACTGTCTCAACCTGCGGCAGCAAAACAGTAACACACAAATAGACATGAGAAATATTCAGCACAAGGACTTCAATAATCCATCCATCTTACAATATTTTCCCAGTTCGTAATGTGCACATAATGGAGATTGGAAAGCATTGAGGCACAAATGAAAAGGGATCACATGATCCCTGATCACAAAGACAGACCCCAAAGTTTAAACCCCCTGTGCCCCACCCTTGATATTCTTCCCAAAAGCAAAAAAAATGACATCATCTACTATTATAGCAAAACATTTATTAACACATCATGAAAGAAGGCAATGTTTTATGATAAGTGATTGCCAGAGAAATTTTATGGATCTTTATAATGCATACCTGTACCATCTCAGTCACAAAACTGAAGCCCCCGGGTCCTATAATAGATCCTGCCAGCAGATAACCAGTGATAACCTGCAATGTTGTCCTTTTTAAAATTAAGAGAAAATACTATTGTTCTCAGTACAGGAGAGCAACAGTTGCATTACATAAGAAAACCGAAAATGTTACACTCTTGCCTCATTTTTCATTTTAAAGTATTTCTAAAATTTTGACACAATTTCCGTCATGAGGAGTTTCAAAAAATTCAACTCACTTTTTATTCGACGGTGTTCTAGAAAGTTCGACCACTTCTACTTCCTCCAATCCTTTTTAGTTGATTTGTTTTGAATTTTGCCACTATTCACAAACTAATTTGACTAGTTTAAGTTGCTTAATGTGTAATTCAAAACTACCTTAGAATTTTTACTTATTGACAATTACAAATATTAACGATTAAATTTTTGCATTGCAAACGTGATAAAAGAAATGTGTCAACTAAATTCCATATTTGGCAAATCATTTTTACTATATTACCCCCTCCTTTTTCATTCACTCTCTCCTTTTTCTTACATCTAGGCCACCCACCTACTTTTTTACTCACATCTCTCTTATTTTATCCCCTTTTCCTTACACCCACTCACTTTTCCAAACTTTCCAAGAAACAAGAGTCATTTCCCATCTCATAGAAAAACCTTTTTGCTTTGCTTAGTCCTACCCCCCACTAGAGATGATCCTATTTGGTCACATACCTAACGAGAACTCCTACGATCCTTTTATTTCGGCAATTCTGAATAAATGTCTGGATAACCAGCCTAAAGGTTCTCTTATCTATGCCAGTGATAATATTGATCATGACTTTGACATGGAGTTGGAGCTGCTAACTATGATGAATGCGCTAGCTATGGATTACATGTCTTTATAATTATATAGCCTTAAAGATCTTTCTTAAGGACTACTCACTCCATCTAAAAACTATAATTATATCAATAAATTTGAAATTTTAAAAGATAAGAAGAAAAGAACAGGAAACAAAAAACCACTAAATTACTAAAGTGCTAGTAGATCATGATTGGTTTTCACATAATACCTTTAATCTAATTAATTAAGTAATGATAAAAGACAACGATGACTCCGTATATGGCAGTGGACAAGTAATCCTCCATCAAAGTAAAACAAACAAACCAACAGAGTCAATCACGATGACAAACCAGTTAGGAAGAAATCTACGAAAATATTTGCAAATGTCCAAACACCAAAGACAAACTAAGAAGGCTAACTGATCCCAAATGAGATTCAATGTAAAATCCAATTGAAGGTCCTATCATTTCTCGCAAACCAACAAGATGCAAAATAATCATACCAACTAAAACCAATGCATGAAACTTGCACGTGTGTCAAGACTTAATCTAGACAAATTCACTACACAAGTACAACCTCAAACGCATGTGTCAAAACAGTAATGTAAAAACATAAAATCATATAGCTTCCATTCTCCCCAGACCCCACCTCAAAAGCACAAAAGATACATCCTAAATATGGCTTTGTTTGGAGTTCCAAAGTTGCAATTTATCATTAGTATTAAGCCCATCCAAAACTGCTGTTCAGAGTCCATCACGAATCACCTATTCACCTTCAACTTCAGAATGTTTGTTAAGGGAAGAAACTGAGTTCTAGGGCCTCAGAGGAATTTAGCAAGTGTTTCTACAACAATTTAAAAGAAAAACCATCATAACTATTCCCCAATCTGGCTCAATTCATTAGAAACAACATTCAAGAGCATTCAACAAATATCTGACCTCCTCCACACAATCATCCTGAACTGAAAGTTCCGAGTAACTAAGAAGCCAACAAAAGAAAGAAATAAGAAAAATTCACCTACAAAGCAAGTCTCTAATACTACTAGGAAACAATGCATTTATAGTACTCACATTTGAACAAGTATCACACTGTTCCTTTTGTGAACATTTTGCATGATTTTGACCCTATGTGACCTTATCATATCAAAGTTGACGACTATCAAATGCCACACTTGAGCAATGAAGAAACTTGGTAGAAAAGAAGCATATGCTTTGACCTCCCCAAATCCATGAATCCATGTAGCTGTGCATACAGCCATACATTAACCCCACTGACAATTCTCTTAACCTATTAAGATCCAAAAGGAATTTCTGCAAAACTGTAATCTACATTTTATTGAAATCAGTTGACCATTTCTAACTTTACAGGTCATGGAGATAGTATTAGCAGATAATATATCGAAGCACAATCATACAAACAACAGAATGTTACACGTGCAAATGCAATGCCACCACAAAAGGCTGAGACAATGGCAACAATCAGCACTCATGCAATGCAATGCCGCCACAAGTTGCACATGCAAATGAAATGCAACCACAAGGACAATCCATCAGCAGAAGGTAGTGGCATCAAGAGTCATACCGGTTGTCCAGCACATGCAAATGCAATGCCACCACAAGTTGCAGAGACAATGGCAACAACCAGCTCTGATATCAACCTGCAGAAAATCCAGGAATAGTACCCTCAGATATGAAATAATTGTTACCACCTAAAAAATCAATCAATTGACAAGAGAAAGTGGTGAATAACCTAAGGTCTAGCTGCAGCATTGGATACTTCGATTTTGGATTGGATATAATGAAGACATTATCCTGTAAGCAACCATTGGGAAAGCTCACCCATAAGTATTCATGTGATTTTGAAATTTTGGAAAAGATAGTGAAGGGAAAGATGATGCCACTACAACAGCTGCTAGATAACACTCAAGTTATAGGGTGTACCTTTCTATCTATCAAGGTAGGTGTTTCTTCAGGTCCATTCTCATTGTCCAGATTGAAAACTTGATGAGAAAAAAAAGATCTGAAACAGAAACACAACACATGTAAGAGTTTCGAATATACATATGGATAAGCTACTCTTGTGAAAGTATCACATGAAGACCACACACACCCACACACACACACACACACACAAAAACACTTTGTATTCTTTATCATTAGCAAATTTTAAGAACACGTGATTGAAATATCTCAAAATCAAAACCAGCAAATCAAATACCCTCCCATATTATAAAACAAAAAAGTTTTCTGAAAAAAACAATTAAAAAAAATAATAAATAAAAAATAAAAACGCCAAAGTTTGCAACAATGTCAAGCTAAGCATATCAAACCAGAAATTAGAAAGAACCATTGTTTCAAAAACACCTCAAATAATCAGCTATCAAGCACCAGTAATTCCTCTTTTTTCATGAAGCAATATCAGAAAGCAATAAATCATGCTACAAGCCAGCTTGTTTATCCACAAAATAAGTTATCCATACTTCTCCTCCTTTGTTTCATTTTTCTTCGACTTCACTCTAGCAACTGTCTCCAAAACAGCCTGTATGAGACAAAGAAAGTTTCTTTTGAGTACTTATAACAGAGGTCTAATAAGAAAAAGATAAGGCAGAAGCCACATATAATAATTTTAAAGCTACATGTGAATATTTGATACAAGCAGTATCCATAAACAACATATAAAATCCTTATAACTAGCCAATTTTCCAATTACCTACCTCCTTCAGACCTTAACCCTACTGTCAAAAGGAGAATCTAAAATGAGGCTTAAAAAAAATTGCCTAATACTATATAAAAAAACCAAACAAAAAGGTATCAGAAAACCATGATGCTTCTCTTATAGCAATACAATGTAGGTCTTCTCTTCAAGTGCAAATATATTTACAATACTAAGCAAGATCACTTTTAAAAAAAAAAAAAAAAAAAAAAAAAAGTTACAAAACCTTGCAAGTAAACAGCAATCCTAAAAATTTCAGGAAACGTGTAAAAATTCATAAAATATTTATTTATTTTTACTAAAATCAAGAATATAATCTCCCTACAAAAGAACTTATTTTTGAAGTAATTATAAATCAATAATGACACAGCCAATAATACAAAAGACATAGAAATGCCACACATCCCCCCTCTTCTATTTGACCACCTTTAAACCTTCATATTCCTTAATCATTAATCACTCCTTCCCAATTCAAGGAAGCTACACCCTCCGCCTGCCGGTTCCACTGAGAGAAGAAAGCTCTGTGTGCAATAGTTAATGATTGGAGAAAGTAGAAGACAGAGACAGATCAGAAGCAAAGTTCTAGGTGAATGGGATGTCAGTCTTCATTGATGTCGTCCGGTAAAGGTCAGAGCTCCAGCAATCTACTGCAAGAGAGACTACTTGGTGTCAACAAAGAGCATGTCCATAGCAATTCAAACAAAATTTCTTGCCTTGTTAACATTCCTTGGTAAGAAACGGGCATGGAAGGTAAACGTCCTTTCAAAATGCTTCAAAGATCCTTGACTGTGACGTTACAATTTTGCAAAGCATAATCGTTGCCCGCCTAGCATTTCAGAGGTAATTAATACCCAATTTTGGCCTTTTGACATATGATGTGTTTTAAGTAGCTTTGGTCAACACTTAAAGTCTATATATATGTCGTTGTTTTGGGTTGGTTATATTAGTTATACAACCATACAACTATTTTAACACAAGGGTAAATGGGTGGTAGAGGACACTTAAGTGCAAGGAAACTGCTAGGGTTAATCCTAGCCTAGTAAGAATAAGTCATATCTTTTTAATGTTATATTAGGAGTCATGCACAGGTTTATTAGTCCCTTAAGGGCAGGGTTTTACACGTTTTATATTGCCTATATAAACGATTTATTTTAGAGCTGAGTAAATTGAGTTTGTGAGTTTTCATGAAAACTATATGAGCTTGTGAAACGCATGTTTTCATGAGAGTAAGTGAGAGGCTTATGCAACCCAAATTGGTAGTCCAAGCAATTTGGTTCCCTAGTTTTAGTTGATCCCAAGATAGGAGAGGCTAATTAATATCAACACGTGAAAGCGCAATGACACTCTGAGGAGATAACATAATCATGCTTCATTGATATTCAAACACCACTAATTTGTACATAATTTTCTTAGCATCTGCTACTTAAAACTTCAATTGTTGAAGCAAAGAACTTTACCCACATAAAATAGCAGTTTTCTTTCTTCCTTAGTGGGTACACCTCATTAATGCCAAAGGAACCAGCTACATACACAAACCATCCGAATCCCAATTCATCTTTCTTTTGCAATCCACATCCTTGACCCTTCTAAGTGGAACTCAAAATATAGATAAATGCTAGGACCAAAGCTCATAAAAGGAAAACACCAATGTACCCTTCAAACAAAATAAATTTCCTAGATACAATAAATTTCTTCTTTACGTACAATCTTGATAGGAAGTAAGAGCTAAGAACCTTTAATTTGAATCCTGCCCTAACAAAAAAAAAAAATTCTACCCTATAAGGTCAACCAAATCACCTTGGAGGGAACTCACAATGAGATTCACTTCCAAAAAGATACAAAAGCTTATAATAAACTAATGTATCACAACAACACTATATCAAATGATCACCTTCAATCCATACCATCCGTTGGCATGCAACTCAATCACTCAAGTAACAGAATCCTCTCATCAAACACCAGGAGCTCTAAGGAAAGCAACTTATATGCCTTTGATTTTCATCCTAACACCGTTAGATAAACTGAAGCATTAGTACAAGAGGTGAACCTACAAATTAGTGAAAATTGATTCTTTTAAAAAAACAATATAGTAAGAGCACTCTGGCTCCATTCTCTAATATGCCAATCATATGCTTTGTTTCACTACCTTTTCCCAATTTATGAGATTCATCATTGCTACTATTTGCACGATCCTATACTAAGATTAATGATATAAATCAAAATGCAAAAAACCCAGATATAGTGAAGTAGAAACATTAAATGTAATCACCATCCATATCCTATAACAGTTAATACTCATAAATCAAGAGGTTACCAGCTAACAGCTCCCGACATACAGTGAAGTTGGATTCTGATTTCTGTAGAATCTATACTTAATCATATCACGTCTTACAGCTTAGCTTATTTCATAACTTTCTAGAGCTAATATCCTGTTAATTATATGTCCTGGATATTCATTCCAGAAGACAATATAAGACCCAGGAGGCCTGGACATAGAAAGATCAATTTAATCTATTCTTTCAATCTTGCAAAGATATCGAAGAGCCGACATACTGCAAGGCACCGTAATCAACAGATTGCATGTTATTCAAAACAATTAAATCCAATGCCAGTTCCATAAACACACAATTGAATATAAACCTGAACTCGGCACTGTCATCAACACAAACAAGCTACTTTCTAGAAAAGGAAACACTTTGCATGTGATTCCACTAAAAAATATCTCAGATTTCAGACAGCCAATCTCACAAGAACTCAAAAACGAAAGATCCGAAAACATGCAAATTCAAACTAATTTCACACATCTACATTACCAAATTAAGCTTAAAGAAACGGCATTACTAACCTGCTGCTCCGCAACACTGTTGTTAAAACTTCCAGAATCAGCAACTGCACAAAATAACCAACTATTTTATTAATAAAAGATCCACATTATTCAATACAAATCACACCGACAATTTTCAACACTGATCTACCAACCCTAAACTAAAGCAAAACCACAAATCGAAAATCCGAAAAACCCTAACTCATGCAATTGGCAACAACTTCAACCAAAAATTAGGGGAAAAAAAGCACAATATCAGATCTAATCCAAAAACCTCAAAAACGAAAAATTAAGAATTAACAACCTTCATTTTGATCATTTTCGGGGAATTCCTTCTCCAAAGCACGATCGAACATGTCGGCGAAACTATTAGTAGAATTCGTACTATTGGTTTCAGTGAGATTAACATCGCCATTGATAAAGCTCGTCGAATCATTGGAGATGTTTAAACAAAGAACGAAAGGCGAGAAGCAGAGAAGAAGATCGAGAAGAATGAGTAAGGAGAGAGAAAATGAAGTGAGTTTCGCCATTGTTGTTAGGTTGGATGCAACAGAAATGAGGAGAAAGAAAAATATGGTGGACAAAACAGAGCGATGTGTGTGTGTGTGTGATAGAGTAGTAAGGGCGCGCCGCGCGCGTTTTCGACGGCTTCGGAGGTGGTGGTGCTACTACGAGTGCGTGTGCGAGTTTACGAGTGTGCGATTATATGCCAAAAAAATAAGGGGACATTGTATCAATTTTGAGTATGAGTCAAAAAAGATTAAAGAACGGTGGATTTTATTAAGGAGTACATATTACTTCATTGACACAAAGCATATATTCCTCTCTTAGCATTAAGTTCGGGTTATTTTGATTACTATAATTAATTGGAGTGAGTGAGAGGAGATGTGCCAATTTAGGTTGAGTACTTGAATCTAACATTGACTAAGATTAATGGATTGTGAAATAGATTTCTACTACCGTATTAGTTATAGATTGTTGTTTCTTTAAGTTTTCATTGCTTGCTTGATTAATTATGTATTATAAATCATTTTTGTTGGTATAAATTACGTTAATTGAGATTTAAATACTATCGAGTATCTTTGAGATTATATTAATATATATTATTTTTAGACAAAAGCTAACGAACGCCCTGAATAAGCTGGCTAAAAGTCAAAAGATTAAATTAAAATTAACGTTAAATATATTGTTCGATGCGTGATTTTGTCATGCTTTCCAAATTAAAACCACTTTGGGGTAACACTATAAATGCTTATCCAACACCCCAAAGGCGTTCATTGACAAGATCCTTATTTTTATAATATAGTGGGGGGTCAACTGACCCCACTTGGATTTCTAAAATTGTAACACCCCAATAATTCTCTCTTAAAAACCTGTGAATAATCTGAACAATTCCAAGAGAATTACTGGCGTGCTACCGCCACGTATTCAAACGTTAAAGCTTTTTCAGAAAATAGCAGCGAAAAAACTAAAATAAATATATATAAGTTTCAAAACCAATAACCAAACCAAATTAAATCTTACAACTTGGAACCCTTAAGACCCTTATTCAAAACTGAAACCAACAGAAATAGTATGAAAGCAAAGTTGAGTTTAAGTAACTTTAATTGTAAATAGTAAATAAAATAAGTAAAGCAACCAACTCTTCACTCAAGATCCCACCATCTACAAATAGATGCTGCATGTGTAAGAACCTATGGTTAATCTGCTCCCCAATATTACAAGTGTAAAAATTGGATCGTCACAAGGTCATTGAAAGGCGAAGACCATTACCAAAGAAAGACACACACAAAAGCACGCAATCAGCAAAGCTGAGTACATACAAGCTGCAAAATAAAATTAAGAAAATACCTAACATGCTACTAATAATCAAGCATAAGCATCATTAAATACAGACTCAACACATGACTCAATTATCAAATTTATTAAGACCTCACTAGTTGATATTAACTAACTCATTTATTTATTTCATTGGCTTTAGCAATAGACAAGGTTGTCCAACCCATGTCCCATTTGGAACATCAATAAAAGAAAAACCCCATGCCTCCTTTCGAAAACATCAATACACATCCAACGACCACGGGCACGACTCTGTGACCGTAGTTAGTATGAGATCTCACCTAACTCCTAGTTTAAAAAAAAATATTTGAAATAGGAGACTCGTAGATCAGACGGCCTCGATAAAAGTACACGGCTAATACCCCATGTACCCCAACCCCTGATTGTCATTACTCCAGATGTGCACCAACCCAGAGTTTTATTACTCATCCATCTTGCACTTTACATGATTTACAGGTTTAGACTTGGTGGTGACTCATATACATTACAATACAAACATTCCAAACACAATTCAATTAAACATGGCAAATTCCCAATTTAAATTCTTGATTTATTAGTGACAAACAACATTTATTAATTATTCCTTTACTACCTGGGTGCATAAACACCTTGAGTGCATAAGGCATCCCAAAATCTTAACCTCGTCTTATAAGACTTGAATTCCTCCTTTACTCATCATGTTTGCATAATCATGAATGAGTAATAATTTAATCTTTACACCAATCACATACCTTTGCCTTTAAGCGCAACTTGCATAATTAGAGCACAAATAATACTTGCATTATAAACTAGTGCACATCATTTGAAATTCACAATGTATAACCAAACAATTTAACCCAGTCAATCCTATACATGATACTAAGTTCTCGATCCGTCCTTAAACATGCACCTACAAGCAAGGTTTCGTAACTTGTACGTACCTTGTGTAAACAATCCGGTTGGCCACTTTAAAACTAGAAGTCGCCTTCTACAAAGTCCTCTTCTAAACCAAACAATGAGAAATAAATCAATACCCAAGCAAATAAATATACAGCAATACTAAACTACTTTAAAGCCTCTTAAATCATCAAAATAGAGCCTTTAAATTGTCCCCAATAGTCAAAGTTAATAATATAACATCCCAACTATAAGTTTATATGTTAAAATTATGAAAATATAGGGTTTAATATCAAATTACAGCAACTTTAAAGTAAGTAAATAAATCTGAAAATTTGGTTTAAGTATATAAAATAACCCCATAAGCATAATTACTAGAAATAATCATTATATAGCAAGTTAGTGTGTTAAAAACCCAAAAATATATCAATTCAATGCAATTAGAGGCTTCAAAATAAAAAGTATGAAATCTGAAAATTATTTTTAAGGTTGGAATTTAAAGTTCAAAGCTTTTTTAATCATAAAATACCCACAATAATTATTTTGTAGGCTTAGAAGCATAAAAACATGAAATTAACATAACTTGCTCATAAAATTGAAACTTTAATAATCTGTGACAGGCTAAAGTCGTATCACCTAATCAAAAGTAATTCCTAAAACCACTAACTAATAATAGATAGGGAAGTAGGGTCGAATCCACATGGAAACTGATCTTTCTATTCCTAATTAATTAAGGTAATCTAAATTATCAAGTAACCAATATATAAATTTGGATATAAAACTAAATTACGAAGATTAAGAATAAGGAGAAAACAATGAATAAAAGGTCTAGGGCATAGGTTCACCAATAAATAAAATTCCAGGGTAAAACATAATAATCAATCATCAATGCATACATTAATCAGATTATAAAGGGCTTTCGCTACGTATTACAATCACACAATTAATTTACCGGTATTAAATCTCATCTCTTGAATCTCGACTTAACCATTTATAAATTAACCTGCCTATTGAAACTAGACCTAAACATCAATTCTCATCTCTCGAATCTCGAATCAATATTGTCAACCTCATGCATAAAAGATCCGCGCAAATCTAGTCACAAAGCATTAAATCAATCAATAGGAAATAATCTAGCATTGACAATTAATAACAATAAATCACCCCTTCATATTATTTATGGATCCCCATAAACCCTAGAAATAGAACTACTCACACATAATTAAATCTAAACAAATCAAAGTAATAAAACAAGACATGATCAAAGGAATAAAATAAATAACTAAGATTAAGAGAAGAGAAATTGTTACCATAGAAATCTGGAATTAAGAATAAAAGTCAAGAACAAAGTATATAAGAATTTTAGAGAGAGAAAATATTCTAAGTAGAGAGAGAAAATCTAAAAGAGAAGGTAATCCAAATTACATATAAAAATCGTACTTAAACATCCCTAAAACAATTCCTAATTGAAAACTAAAAATCTCGACAATCAGGTCTTCCAAAAACACGCGCCCGATCGGGCGCGCCTTTTTCTCTGCGTACTTTTCTAAACAGCCGCGCCCGATCGAGCTAGCAGCTCACCCGATCGGGCGTGCCTTTGGCCACGCACCAGCACAACTCTTGCGCGCCACGCCCGATCGAGCTAAGCTTGCCCGATCGGGCCCTTGCTTCACCTCGAGGCTTGGAACTTCGATTGGGCTTATATCTTTGGCCCAACCCGAAAATCCACTTAGGGTCTTGATCATTCGGTCCAAATACCTCGGCATTCCGATTACCGAGCCCTTAATCACCGGCTTGATGACTCTAACCGGCCTTGGGCTTCAAAGATGGTTGTGCTCCTCCAATTTCCGTAGTTGATCCATGAAAACCCAGGAAAAAGCTCCAAAAGTGCAATCTCCTACAAAACTCAACCAAAACTACGAAAACACTAGAAAACACCAATTAGTAATAAAAGTGGCTCTAAAGAGCCAAAAACACTACTAATTATGAGCAAAGGACGGGGGTAAAATACTATATAAAATAGACACATCAATCTGAAAATTTATATATGATCAAAATAATTATACTTTAACAAAATTCAGACATAGTATAATTAGATAACTAGATTAGTGCGTTTTCAAGCCCTAAACATGAAAAAAAAACAATGTTTAAACCCTAAATTTTACAACATATATAATCTAAAATTTTATATAATAATTTAAACATGCTGTTAGTTGAGACGATTAACACAAGAGGGGGGGTGAATTGTATCGAGTTCCTAATGACTACTTTTTGTGGATAAATAAACGATGCATATAGGAACTTGCTAAAACACACAAATTTTACGAGGAAACCTTCCAGGGCCCAACTGGAAGTAAAACCTCGACCCTACCTTAGGGATTTCAAACACAAAACACTTCACTATAATAGGGCAAACACCAAGTTACAACCTATTAGACACGGACCTTTATTTCACAAGTTCCTCACTGGACTTGCTACTTGATAGGACCCTATCCTACCCAATCTAAGCACCACACTTAGATTCACTCGTACCACCAAAGTACTACACGTTGTTTCGGGGTTTTCTGATGTCCTACGGGAGAGTTACAATTCCGGGACTGATATCCTTGCGCCTGTACCTGCAAAACAACGGAGACTCCTTGTGGTGGGAGCTCCGCCTCCAACGGTCAAGTTAGTACTTGTTTGAGGAGTAATAAATGCGGAAAGTAAAGGTGGGAGATCTGGTTCCTCTAGGGGAGGAGTGATTAATGTGTTTAGACTTCTCTAGGTGAGAGTCATCAATTGCTGAATCCCCTTTAATGAGGATTAATTAAGTATTTATAGTCTTGAGAAGAGTGCCAATTTTAGGTTTAGGTTAACCAGGGCAAATTGGGCTTCTCTCGGACTTTGGGCCTTGGTGGCCATTTTGCCTATTTGGCATATGGGAGGCCACGTGGCGTGGCCTGATTAGTCCATGTTGGACCTCTTAGGGTGACAAATGGCGGACGCTGATTGGCCCACGTGGTGGACACGTGGCAGGTCCGGATTGGTCCATTTGTCATGGGTAATTTTTACCCTAAACATTTGCCCCTCGGAAGGAG